GAAAATGAAAAGGTATAATGAGATACACATAACTGAAGGGAATTGTCTTAAATGGCTGATTGTAATGAGATGTACATAAATTGTAAGGCTTGTAATGAAATGAAAAAAATCATATTCTTGCCTGATAATACTGGGCGTAATGTCTACACCTGAAATAAGCCGTCTCAGTGCACTGAGTGTAATGAGATGCACATAATTTTAAAGAGTGTAATGAGATGAAAAATAAATCAAACACTTGTCTTAAAATGAAAGATGTGCCAAGATGCACACACCTGAAGGGCATTGTCCTAAATGGGTTCCGTTTAATGAGAGGCATTTAATTTGCAAAGGGGCTAAATGAGATTGGCCCAGAGAGAGGCTGAGAAATATGAAAGTATACAACACACTTGTAAGTGGTATCATAAAACCGGCTTCATATGTGGTACAGAAATAAGATGCTGAACTGGAAAAAAAACACACACACAGGGTATGAGGTAATCAACATTCTTTCTCTGCCAGTGCTCCCTGCTCTTTCCCTGAGCCTGAGAATCTCTGCAAAGTTCACTGTCCTTTGTCTCCAGTATGATGTCAGGCACATCGTAAGCATCGGGGAATGCTTACTGAATCAACATCTGGTTCAGAGGGGCGTAAACTATCAGCCAAAAGGTTATAGGAGCAGCTATAAAGCAAGGAACTTCAAAAGACAGTTGGGAACTATTTTCTGAGAGCAAATGTTCCTCACTCTTCAGGCATCTTGCTTGGCAATCTGCAAGTGGAGCCTAATCCTGATCTGTAACAAGCGACTTTGGTGAGTTTTATGTCTTCAGGCTCATGATTCCCCATAGAAGCCAGGGAGGTGACATGTGCCTGGAGCTATCTGGATGTGAGACACAGGTACACTTTGCAATGAAAGGCAGGAGAATCTTCATTTCCACAAATACCTTCTCTTCAAATTTTGTATCAAAGGCAGGACTCTCCCTCTTGAAATATGCTGTTTTCTCACTCGTGATGGAGTAATGGGTATAGAGAAATATTTCTCTTGAAAGCAGCCACATAGCTGGGCGCAGTGGCTCAGGCCTGTGATCCTAGCACTCTGGGAGGCCGAGGTAGACGGATCACTTGAGCTCAGGAGTTTGAGACCAGTCTGAGCAAGAGTGAGACCACCCCCTTCTCTACTAAACATAGAAAAAGCAGCTGAGTGTTATGGTAGGCATCAGAAGTCCCAGCTACTCAGGAGTCTGAGGCAAGAGGATGGCTTAAGCCCAGAAGTTCAAGGTTGCTGTGAGCTATGACACTACGGCACTCTATCTAGCAGTAACAGAGAGAGACTGTGCCTCGAAACAAAACAAAACAAAAAACAAAAAAACAAGAACACTTAGATATTAAAGAGAAAATAAAAAGAGTGGGGGAGGGGAGAAAATAACTAACCAACCAGTCACCCCAATAGTGACAGTAATGTCACTCAGCCTCAATGTTGGGGAGACCCCAGGTGTGGTGACTGGATAACCTGGAGAGCTCACCTTAGGCAGCAGTGATTATTCAACTGCACCTATTCCAGGCCATGACGGAATATAGGTCCCAAGTTGCCCGATTACTCAATTTTTCAGAAGTCAGAAATGTAATTTTTTAATCTGCAATCTTCTAACTTATAAATATTGGTACATTTGTAAAAACAATATGTGGTCCAAATGGAACATGTCTGCAAACTGAATTTGACCCAAACATCACAGTTGACCTGAGGGCCTCCTGCTTGCAACTCTGCATGGTAAAATTTGAGATCACCGAGCTAAGGAAGAGCTGATATAGGATGCCGCAAACACACTTTCAGGCTCAGTCTTTCTCTGTTAGAACGTAAACTCTTGATCACAGTTGTGTCCTGGTAAATGGTGCCTCGGACAGAGTCAGAGCTCAGTAAATGCATGTTGAATGCATGAGTGGCGGGCTCACTGGGAATGACTCCAGAAGGCTGCAGGGTGACAGGGTCATCACTCTGCAGGGCAGCAGGGAGGGAGGCTCCTTGGTTAGGCCAGGAAGCGCTGGCCACCAATTCCCACAAGCAGAATCTCCAAACCAGAAAGGCCTTTCCTGGTGGGCTGGAGTTGGGGACAGAGTCAGTCTTTGGGGTTTCCAGGGACCTGATATCCGTTCCATTTGGGGGTAAAAGAAAAACATCCCCTACCCGCCACCCCTTTGTCCTATTGCTTGTATTTCCACAGGAATACGGCTTATCTTCTCCTCGGATTGGGTGGCCACAGGGTCATACACAGAGAAAGCGTGCTGTTTTCTCAAAACACAACCACTCACATTTTGAACCACTTAGAAGCCCCTTTTCAGTTGGCAGCATGGTTGAAAGATGGCAAAACTTGATAGAGAAACTTCCAAGGGGGTGAGAGAGGCAGGGATGGGCCAGTTTGTCATTTCTTTCTATCGTGCTACCTAAAATGTATTTTGTAAAGTACTGGATATAGCTGGAATTACTGGAAAAGGGGGTGGGGCTCAAGTAAATCTGAGAGCACCTGAAACAAAGTTGAACAGGTTTCTTTCCTGCAGGATTCCTCAGCCTTTACTACTCTAAGGCACACTATGAAATTCCACTCACAAAATATAACATGCAGCTAACCTTAGACTAATTTGAGCACAATTTTTGGGATCATACTTTTTAACCGAGTATTCCTTGGGAACACCCCCTTAAAAGACTGTAGTCTTCCGGCTCTGGGAGGTGAGGTTCTAGTGGGTCATCTTCCTGTGGATCTTGAGACTTTCTTCATCTGCCTAGAGAGGAGGCAGAACCCTCTCCCGTTATAATGGGGGGCGGGCTCTGGGAGAGCAGTGACTCAGAGAGCTCCATGGGGTCCACTTTGCCTGTCTGACTGCCCCTCATCGTCTTCCGCCTGGTCACAGGGGATCCCCCGGTAAGTGCAAACTCTCCAGCCTTTGTGAATGTGAACCAGAAGCTCCCTCCTGCTTCTAAACAGACGACCTAGACATCTCAGTAACAGTACCCAGGTAAGGAACCCCCTAGTCTGAAAGAGGTGCAAACACTTGCCTCTCTTTTCTGTGGGGAGATAGAGAAATTGCTTCTTGCCCAGGGATGACAGCGCTGACCCTGGGATTCACGGCAGCACCGCCCCGCCACCTCCCCAAAGCTTTAGCATTCAAAGCGTCAATCAAGACAGACTCTCTCTCCCAGTTCCTGGGACTTTTTCACCTGCGGGATAGGGAAAGGGGCATGAGGCGGCTGAGGGTGCGACCATGGAAGCACGAGCTTCCAGGATGATGACCCTCAGGACCTAGGATGGAGATGGCAAAGCAAGGACCTTTGTAGGAGGCAGTGTGTGCTGGAAGAGAGGGACTAAATTCCGTGTTCTCCATGGTGGTGGAGGAATCGCCAGCAGAGGGCGATAGAGAGCTGCTCCTGTCTTCTCTCCCCATCTACGTCTTACAGCTACCCTGGCACCAGGTACGTCGTAAATACACCAAGCTTGGCTGTCTTTCTCTCCAGATGGGTCAACTGAGGTCAGCCAGGAAGCCCACCTGTGTATGTCCTTCCGTGGGTAGTCAGGTGAATGGGGAGGCCTTCAAATTTTGTCTGGCCCAGGGTCCCACTAAAGGAGCAAGGAACCCCTACAGCAATAGAGACAGAGAATTGCGCACCAGAATTACGGTAGGTAATAAGATTTACTGAAAACTCGGCCACATTCAGTACTGGTTTGGTGGATACATCAGAAGGAGGTTGCATAACATTAGGCAGGTGAAAGGGGCTGGGAGGAAGAAAGGTGGGCACGTGTGTGCGGGTGTGCCTGTGTTGGGGACCCCGGTCAGGGTGGTGAGTGGAAGGGGGTGTGTGTGTGTTTCAACGAGGAAACCGAACCAGAAGAGGAAATGCATTTTATCCCACTGCACGTTGCAAAAGTCTCACGCCAAAAAAGCTAGACTTTCCTTTACCTATGGCATCAAAAGGGAATAAAAAAATGATTGGATCACCCAGATTATAAATAAGGTTATTTGTTTCTCAAAAATCCCTATTAAAACATTAAATATCAGCTCTTTTGGGGGAGAAATACATTCATTTCAGGGAGACCTCAGGAAAGCAACTGTCCTTTTGCTCCACCCCAACCAGGTGAAGGAGGGGAGGCCCCAGAGAGCCAGAGGGTCCCCTCCGCTTGAGGCAGGTTGCCACTCACATCCTGCCGCTGAAGGAGATGGCTAATGCACAATTTACAAATGAAACTGCATGTCCATTAAATTAAACCCAATGAAAAACACACGTGTGGTCAGTCCTGTCATTCACAGCCATAGGGGTGAGAGGGCGTGGGGTGGGGCTGGGGAGGGGTGCCCGGAGGGGGTTCTGGAAGTTGAGGTGGGAGGGTATGACAGGGCAGAGAGTGGAGAGCTGCGGCCTCCTCCCGGGAGCCCCCACTCTTGCAGTGCTGTGGGTGGTGGAGTGCGGAACAGCAAGGCGGGTGGGGCGAGGCAACCCCCAGGCTCCAGGTGCCATCTCTCTGGCCCCTCCCTCACATTTGGATATCGATGGGAACAGGGACGTAGCACCTTCTCCAACCCCCGGCTTCCCTGTGGGCTAGATGCTTCTTTGCACTCTTCTGCCTCCTCTGAAGGATAGATGAGGAAGGGAGGCTGGAGGCTGATGGAGCCCACCTGGAACAGAGAGGCAGCCCCTGGCTGGTGGAAGGATTCCCAGCTAGCCTGGCTCCACCCTCTCTGCAGGCCCTGAAGGGTGTGGAACATCTAAGGAGCTCCATCTGAAGGCAGGACCATCTAGGGTGGGACACCCCTGTCCTGTTACAGGAGCTGAGTTCTTTGACCACCATGGTCACCTTGATATGGCTCCTGGCGAGGGTCTGTCATTTCTTTGGCTCCTAGAGCCACGCCAGATGAAGGGACTCCTCTCATCCTCCTCCTACAGGCTGAGCCACCAGCTTACAATCCATTTCCAGGACGGAGTGAAGGACGCTCTGCCGGCTGCCATCCCTCTCCCCCAAGTCCACAGTGCTGTGCCCAGAGACAGCTCCCTCCTGCCCTTGAATGTCCCCCTTTGTCTTTCCCTTTCTTCCTAAGTCTGTCCCCCCCGGCAAAGGCGCACTCTGTAAACAGCACCGATCCACCGCACAGTGCAGGGCTTGTGAGCAACGCAAGTCCTTGGGTGGGGCCCATGGTTGCCATCTGGCCTCAGAGATTTGGTGAGTCCAGACATTGTTCCTGTCTTTCCATGCAGGCTGCTTGACTGGCCCTGCCAAACAGAGTCCTCTGTGGTTCCAGGGCAGTGGGCTGGGATGCTCATGGAAGCTTGGTGGTTGGGAAGGAACAGGGTGTCTCCTCTGTACTTCAAGCTCCTGATTTTGCGAAGCTAGGGCCCAACTCCCTCAGTGCTGCCTACCCGTATCCCCTTCCCCCCCACCCTGAAGCCCTCCCGACAACGCTCCTCTCCTGCTTGCTGGTCAGTGCATCTGGGCTGCCTGGCTACTCCAGGGAGTCACTGTGTTCCAAGCCCAGGTCGCTGACATTCGTCGTCTGCAGCTCATCGGCCTCCTCTTCCAGCTCTTCTTCCTCTTCTTCTTCCATCTCATCCTCATCCTCTTCTTCTGTCCCATCCAAGGAGTCATCATGTGCAGCCATCATTGCCTGCTGCATGGCCATAGTGGCATTGTCTGAGGACAGGGACTGCAGGTTGTCCAAGTTGATGGAGCCTGCATGAGAGAAGGCATGGGTCTGGGTGATATGGGGCTCTGGGAGATAGGAAGGAACAGCTGGCTCACAGGGTGGAGAGCTCCTTGCTCAGGCAGCCCAAGCCTAAGCTGGGTGACTCCTTGGTTTGAAGCCTCCAATGCATTCATCAGTCAGCTTCCTCTGCCCTACCCAGGGAAGCAACACTCCCAGCTCCCATTCACTGCACATTTTCTCTCTAAATATGTTAAGTGCTTTTGACTTGCTAGCAGTTCTATAAGGCAGGTATTATCCTCATTCTAGGAAACTGAGTCTCAGACGGTTAAGTCACTAGCAAGCTCAAGGTGACACAGTCAACAATGGCAGAGTTAGGACTCTTCCCCAGGTTGGTCTAACCCCCAAACCGTTTCCACTCTACCTGTCGAGATGAGGCCCATCATATCAGAACTGTGCGCGCGCACACACACATATATATACACACACACACGTGTGTGAAGGAATGCAGGCACACGTGCACACTGCCACCTCTCTTCCCACACACTGCTATCTTCACATGCCAAGCTATAAAATGTCTGGCTCATTGAATTATTCATTGTGCATTAGGCGACTGGCAATTAGAAGAGTGTATATGGGGGGTGTGACAGGGAGGCTGGGAAAACAGCTCTTCCTCGGCTCGTTCACAAGCCAGCTGCCTGCCTTGGTATTTATAGATGGCCTTGGCTCTTGGGGTGCTGTGAAGACACTGCTGCACAGGGAGCTTGGGTGGCCGTGGGTGTGAGCAGGGGACTCTGCTGAGCAGTCACTGACCTGGATGACCGCCGCCTTTCCCTTGCCTTTGTGAGATTGCTTTTGGCTTGTGAAAATATGTACAGAAACATCCTTGTCTTGGAGGTTCTGATGGGGTCAGAGCAGCGACTGGGGCCCATTTGCGTACAGTCAGCTCTTGGATCTTCGTGAAGCCTGAGTTCCAGAAGCTCCCGCCAGCCCCTGCCTAGGGTGCACCCAGCCCCAGTTCTTACCATCGGGGTTTGTCCCTGGGCCACCGCCCTGCTGCTGTAGGACCCCCGCAGCAATGGAGTTGGGCCAGAATCTTTGGGTGGGCCGGTGCTGAGACTTGATCTTCTTGGCTTTGGGGGCGGGGTCTGGGTTGCTGGCGTCCAGCATGGGCTGCAGAATGCGCCTCCGGGCGTTGATGAACCTGCCCAGGGGCAAACGCAGAGACCTGTTAGACACCACCTGGATGGCACGGGCGGGGGGGTGGGGGGGTGGGGGATGGGCAGAGAGAGATAATCTGTCTCCAGACTGCACTATATGGAACAGACAGGGCTTCCGACTCAGGATGTAAAAAGTCCAGCAAGGAGAAGGCCCTGGGGATTGAGGAGTTCTTGAAATCACCTGGGGTTTGGCCTTCCCAAAGTAGCATGAGAAGGGGTCAAAAATCCCGACTCAATGCCTGCCAGGATTGAACAGAGGAGGGAAGAGTGATAGCCACGGAAACTAACCTCTGACTTCTCTCTAGAGGTTGAGGGCTCAGACCAAGGCCCCAACTCTGAGGCCTGCTGTCACCCGACCAGAGCTGGTTCCCTGAGCTCCCTAGGACAGCTCAGCCAGCCATAGAAGGGGAAAGCTGAGACCTCTATGGGTTTGGAATGGCGAATCTTCCTCCTTCCTTCCACTCCCAGCTTTGCACAACGTTTCCATTTTAGTTCACATGGCGTGGGTAGACCAGGTGACCCCTGGTGACGTGCCCCACCCGCCAGTCCACAGGTGCAGGTGTTCCTGTCTCTACAGCGCAGGTGGGCTGGGTGCTCAGGTGGGGTTGGGCTTTGTATTCAGCAAGAAGCCGCCAAGGATGTGCCTGACACAATATCCCAGCAGAGGGCGCCAAGAGGCTGCTGATGAAGCTACAGGTGCCAGTGCTGAGTCTGGCTTTCTGCTTCTAGCTCAAACCAGAGGATTGGCATGGAATGCTGGGCTGAGACCGAGGCAGATCCCAGCATTCCAGTCTCCTTTCCCTGCTGTGTTCCCCTGCCAGGCACGTGGCCCTTGGATCTGCGAGCCTTTGGGCAGGTGGTGCTAACTCACCAGTTATTTACTTGCAGGAGGGTGAGGTTGGTCTGGGCTGCGATCTGCCTCTTCTCATCCTCCGTGGGGTAGGGGTGCTGAAATGAGAGGTGAAGGGCAAATGAGGGCCAGACACAGGTAGACTGGTACCCAGGAGGCTGTGCCCATGGCATGGCACCACCCCAAAGAAGGGAAAATGTAATGTTTGTTCCCCAAAGAGCATGGGGCTAAGGCTCAGAGGAAGGCTGCCCAAGACACCACACTCAGGGCCACCGGGCCCTTGGCCCAGCCCCAACAATGGTCAATGGTTCAATACTGACAGCTTCCAAGGCACATCCTTCTCACCTGCTCCTCCCCGTCACCCCCAGCAGGCAGGGCAGATGCTGTCAGTGTAAGGATTGCATAGGTGGGTGACTAAATCAATTCAATTTAAATTAACTGATATTTACTGAATATTTACTACATGCCCAGATTTACACTAGGCCTTCCTAGGAGAGAGAAGAGAAATAAGAGTGGTAAGCACTACTTGTAGAGTACTTTATAGCCTGTACGATGCTGTCATGCACTTAATTTCTTTTTTCTTTCTTTTTTTTTTTTTTTGAGACAGGGCCTCAAGCTATCCCCCTGGGCAGAGTGCCGTGGCATTACAGCTCACAGCAACCTCCAACTCCTGGGCTTAAGCGAGTCTCCTGCCTCCGCCTCCCAAGTAGCTGGGACCACAGGTGCCCGCCACAACGCCCGGCTATTTTTTGGTTGCAGCCGTCATTGTTGTTTGGCGGGTCCAGGCTGGGGATTCGAACCCGCCACCTTAGGTGTACGTGGCTGGTGCCTTAGCCGGTTGAGCTATAGGCGCCGAGCCGATGCACTTAATTTCATTTGATAAAGCACATGGTCAAAACTGTGAGATAGACAGGTCTGGTATTATTATTTGCACTTTGCAGATGAAGAAACCAAGTGACTTCTCCAGTGTCACCCAGATGGATGTGGGGCTAGTCTTTGTCCCATTACTTCATGATATCACTTTTGAGACGGAGTGAGGGTGAGGGAGTGAGCCGTTCAGGTCCCACCCAGTGCCCAAGCACACTCCAGTCTGTGCAGTGATTACATATGACTCCCTTGCTCAGATCTGCTTCATGAGGGCGCCAGTGCATAGAGATTTCCCACCTCCAGTGCCTTCAAGTACACATGGCAGATGCCTGTTGAGTCAGAGAAAGCAAACAGCAAGCATTGGATGCCAGGGTTTTGGTGATGAGCACCACAGGGGCTTAGGAGGAGGAGAAATGCCTGCTGTCCAGTGTGGTAGGGAAGACTGAACAGGTCACATTAGGGAAGGAGAAGGTTTGGGGTGGCAGTGGGAAGACAGTCCTGACTCCACTGGGCGGTGAGCCAAGCGCTGACAAAGTCCATGCATCTCTGGGTCTTTCTCAGGCCTCAGCACAGTGCCTGGCACCCAGTGGGTCTGAATGGGTCAGACTTTCGTCCTGGAAGGTTTGGGGGCTCTTTGGGCAGAGGACCAACCCATTCAGCATCCTCAGGCGAGCATCATCCCGTTTGATTGGAGTTGTATTAGAAAGCTGGGCTTGGGCCATCTAAACCCCCAGATACTGGGACTTACAATCTGGCTTTACCATGTCTGGATGAGAAATCACAGGAATGTCATTTAACCATACATCATAAAACCACCTAATAAAGGCTCAGCACTGAGTAGGGCATTAGCCACATACACCGAGGCTGGAGGGTTTGAGCCCGGCCCAGGCCAGCTAGCTAACAATGACAACTGCAACCAAAAAATAGCTGGGTGTTGTGGTGGGCATCTGTAGTCCCAACTTGGGAGGCTGAGGCAAGAGAATCGCTTGAGCCCATGAGTTTGAGGTTGCTGTAAGCTGTGATGTCACGGCACTACTGAGGGCGACATAGTGAGACTCTGTCTCAAAAAAAAAAAAAAGAACCTACCTAATAAATAAATTATACTTGTAAAGTGCTCAATACTACTACTATCGTGTGGTGTCAGCAAGGTGCTTAAAGCTCTCTAAGGAAGGAGTTTGTGATCAGCAGCCTTGGCGGTACTCTCATTATCAGAGACAAAGGGGAGTGATCTCTTTAGCTGGCCTCAGCACCCCTGACCAAGGCAATCAGGGTCATGTGTTGTTTTAATTCACACCTCTGACCCTGACTGCCATGCCAGGACAGCTGGGACTTGTGAGTCACACGCTGAGATTCTAACGAAAAGGAAAGAAGGAAAGCACATCTTAATTGGGAAGGAGCAGGGGGAACTGGGGAGAGACAGCAGGCCCGAGGGGCAGAAAGGCAGGGACTCTGGGAGTTCTGACACCTCCTGGGGACAGGCTGGTGCTCACGCCCCAGCCCTAGCCCCAAGGAGTTCCAGCCTCCCCATTCATGGGAAGGAGCCAAGCAGCCTCCCTGTCCACGGTCAGCTGGTGTGTGGACAAACTATGGCAAAAATAGGGTGATTTGGGCCCCACCAGGCTCTTTCATGCCCTGACGCCTTTGCACATGCCGGCCCCTCTGCGGGAAGGCTGTGTCTCCCACTGTTCCGTGGCAGGCTTCTCTGAGCTTCTGTGAAGACGGGTCACACATCTGACCCTCAGGGAGTCCTTTCCCAGCTCCCCAAGGCAAAGCTAGTTGCTGCTGCCTCTGAATGGTTGCTTTCTGCCTGCTTGCTGGTGAGATATGTCCCCCCACTAGGCCCTGCATGGCCCTTGGGCAGGGACCCTGTATTTTATTAGACATTGTTCATCTCCAGCATCCAGACCAGTGACAGGCAAAGCAGTTAGTGTTCCATGATCATGTCGGGAACAGACAAGGGAATTAACGCAAGAAGGAAGGCAAGGCTTGGTTTCCTGAACCTTCTGTTTCATCAACCCATAAAATAGCTGGTTATCTGCAGCATCTTGGGCGCTGGCAGTGAACAATATCTGAACTTAAGAGCTCACAGCATAGATGGAAAGGAAAAAAATGTAGAGAGAAACCCTCTCTTAGAGGGAAGTCCATGCTAAGTACCCCTTGGTGGTAGAGAAAGAAGTCCATAAGGAGGGGGCCTTCGGCTGGACTTTGAAGAATGACTAAGCCATTCTAGTAGGGCAGGGGATGGGCCTTTCAGGAAGGCTGCTCTGGACTTACATTTAAACCAGTCAGATGAAAATCTCGCCCACCATTAAAGGCCCTTCAGCCTTTAATAACCCTCCAGCCTTGCTTGGAAGGTTAATATTTGCTGTCTCTCAGGAGGCTCCTGGTACAGCCCCCATTCTGGGTGGACATCATGAACATTTGATGGCTGTGCTCCCCTCTAGTGGAGAGCCATGAGAGGCAGCGTTGCCAAACACAGGCTGCTTATTCTCTTGTGAATAAGGATATAAATCCCTCCCAATCCCCTAGCACAGGTCCCCATCTCCTAGCCCTCCTGGAACCAGTATTTCAGGAGGCACGTGGTGGAGGCCATGGGGTGAGCAGCATTTAGCTCAGCCTGGAGAACAGGTGTGCCGGCCAGAACATTCCTGGCACTGCATGTGAGTGCCCGTGGGAGCCATCCAGCTCATACACACCTCGGACCGCATGATTCTTAAGGACAGAGTCAAAATAGTCCTGGCTCCTGGACAGACCACGATTGGGTCAGTGCTACTTTTTTAGCACAATTGAAAAGGCTTGGGGCCAAGGACGGGAGGAGGAATCAGATGAGATCATGGTAAGCCACCAAGCCACGGTAGCTGCTCTCTAATTATAGGGAGGAACTCCTCTGGAGTTGAAGGGAAGGGTCCAAATGGTAGCTCTCTGCAAATAGACAGCTCTGCCTTGGAAAAGAGTTCAGGACAGTCCAGAAACTGGTAGATACTTCTCAGGCACAGCCTGAAGCTTCATACAAGTAGACAGTGCTGCCTGGTGCAAAAGAGCCTTTGTAGATGGGGTCGTCTTGGTCCCCCACGCAGTAGCTGTGTGACCTTGACAGCTTGTCATTTTATGTCTTTCTTCCCCAGCTTTCTTGGCTTAAAATGAAAGTAGCAAAAAAATGCTAACTCTCGGATTTGGGGGATGGTTTAATGAGATATGCAGGATAAACACGTGTGCTGTTAATTCGTCCCGTGCAATCTGCTGGAGCATCTCAGATGTCACTTAGTTGAATATTCGAGGTCTCCAGAGAAAGGAACTGTGGTATTTACCTTAAGTAGGCGTTTCATAGCCCCACAGCTGCCGCTTGGAACTCTCTTTGAATTCTACCCTGAACTCTTTCCTACCTCTCCCTGACAACTCCTTTAGTACAAGTCTCATCTGAGTTAGAAGTTGATGCCATGGATATCTGACAGTTGGAAGGGTGAGTTCTGCCAGGGCTTGGCTCAGAAGGAAGCTGAGCTGGCGCTGGTTCATAGGCCCCTGGCCACTTCTCTTCCCACAGAGCCCTGGAGATCATCTTTTACCATGTAGCTCTCACCACGAGGCAGTCAGGTCACAAGGGACAGAGCACATGGCCAGCTTCAGCCTGTTGATGTCAGCAGACCCTGGGCTGCCACGGGTGTAGTGGTCTGGGAGTCTGGCTCAGGTCAGTGAGCGTCCACGCCCCTTCCTGCCGCCCCCAGCACTGCGAGTCCACCACAGTCTTCTTCCCTGCTCCTCACCCCTGACAACCATTGGGCTGCGGTCTGCAGGCCACCAATCTGTGGGCATTGTGTCCCTCTAGGAGGGCCAGGGACCACCCAGAGAGAGGCAGTCAGCACTGTCAGGGACCCTGAAATGACCACATTCTATCTCATCTAAGATGCCATCAAGGGTGGGGTGCACCCTGATTTCAGAGGTGCTAAAATGGGAAAAATCTAAGCCTTTTGGATCAAAAAGAAGCACTTACTGTTACCCCAGGGATCTCTCTTTCGACTATAATTTGCCCTTATTCAAACCATTCTTTCATTTTCTTTCTTGTTTTTACCCCTCACCCCCTTAAAATGGTGCATAAAATGTATAGCTCCACATCTTACCACAAAGCAAGCGACCATATAACCACTGCCCCCGGGTCAAAACTCAGGATAAACCAGCCCCTCCTGGGAGCCCCTTTCTACTCTTTCCGAATCACTCCCCCAAAGCTCACCTGAAT